GCTCTTACTTTGTAGGTCTTCTCCTGGTCTTTTCATCATAAAATATTTCAAACTCATCTAAGTGAGTATGAGCAAAGAACTGTGCTGTAACTGTACTCTCATAACGATTTATAATCTTGTAGTAATTCCAGCTCCATGGCTTGAGACAATCACCACTTCCAGGAGGAATATGGCCGATAATGTGAACCTGAAATCATGAAGACATCTTGCTCATATCTTTTTAGCTCCATCAAATAAGCAGACATCTGCATGCTTGTTAAGTCTTGTTAGAGTAAAGCTTAACCCTTTCACTTCCAAGATGTGATTGTTAATTCTCTCCTATAGTTACTACACATTTCCTTGTAAAGTAGTTATGAGAATTTGGTGTTGGATCAAGATAGCATCTTTTACCTGATAAGTTTGAGTATTCTCATTACCTGTTTGCTAGATATATATATGGATATAAAAGGGAGAAGTTACATGTTAATCACTTCTGGGAGTTAAAAGATTAAGGAGAAAAATTCAAATTTATCAAGACAACTACAATTTGAAAAGTACACTTGATAAGTCACTTCCCAAAATACTTCACAACTTTTCCATTCAGACCCATCTATTTTTTCTCAAGCTGAATGGTACTGGTTTCATCGAAAGGGTTGCCATTTTTGCAACGAACTAGAGTTGCTCTAGGCTATTGCTTCATGCAGCTCTCACACTTCTTTAGTGTTTAGCAACCTCCTGCGTGCATCCACAACTCGATAGTACATGTTGTGGTGTTTACCATTTTGTTAAATGTGGTGTATTGGTATCACAGCTGAAGGAGAAGGTGTGGTACAAAATGTGTCATTCACTTTAATTTTGAAATGCTTAACACTCTCTCTCTCTCTCTCTCTTAGATAAAACCAACCTTTTCGCCATTGTCTTCAGCCTCTTGTAGAGTGTCTATCAACCACTGTAGTTGATGAGCAGGGTCATAATTATCAACTAAAAGCCACCTGGAAGAGGTTAATACAGAATTTATGTGAATTTATGCATGACGGGAAATCAAAGTAACAATTGAACCATGTAAAAAATTACCAGTTATGAAATAGTTGTGTTGTTCTTTCAAATGAATATAATATGGGCAAATAAATATCAAATATAAAAAAAATTGTTAGACCAAATATTAAATGGTTGACATACCAGTTCATATTGTTACAGTAGTTCATGTTGATTGAAATTATCCTAAATCCTTTGGACAAATAGACTGTGTAGAAGATTCCTCTAAGGGTAGAGAACAATATCAAGCAATTACAGCCATGACAAATGTATCTAACCTTACCAAGAATTAATAAAGGGGGTAAGTTTCTAAAAGAAACTGTGTTGCAAGGTTGGTGGGGGGGGTATAACAAAGTAATTTTGGTTTAATAAACTAAGTTGATAATGTAAATTGATCACTGTAAAAAGTTTAAACACTGACAGAGGTTTTGAGGGTTAGCCCTTCGCCAGTGCTTAAGGTAAGGTCGAAATTTTGGTTATATCAACTAAGTTAATAAAAATGTAAATTGACCATTGTAAAGACTTTCAAAGGCTGATGTTTTGACCCTTAGCCCTCCATCAGGTTTATTTCAGTTGCTCTCACTGACAACCGGCTAATGCTTGAAGCATCAACTTCAAAACTCTTTATGGTGGTCAATTTACATTTATATATCAACTTGGTTGATAAAACCAAAATTACCTTGCCAAGGATTAAACATTAAATAGGAAGGGATCCACATTTACAGTAGCTGGTAGCTCAGTGGCTTATTCACTGGACTACACATTAACAGATCTCAGTTGGAAACCTAGCAAGGGCATTCTATTAGTATCCCAAACTCACAGCACCTCTCTCCAGCCACGAGAAAACATGGGTACAAGTTCACTGCCTGGAAAACCTCACAAAACATGGCAGTTAGACCCACAATGCTCTAACATCCAAGGGGAGTAGCAACACTCCTAGTTACTTCATAACCCTAGACAAGCTCCCTCAAGGATAGGTCACTTGTTTTCACAGCTAACCCTTTTGTCATTCTTAACAAAACCATCCACCTTAGCTCACTCTAAAGTTTATTCATTTAAATTTCAAAATTAAATAATTATGGACAATGACTCACTTGTGAATTGTAGGAATTGTATCATTTGGAAGCCAGTGAATCCAGTCATTAGCTAAAGTATTTCTTAGCCACTGGTTTGAGTTGTCACCAGTAATGAATGGTGGAGGAAAGCTGTAAACAAAATACAAATGAATGAAAAATTTAGCACTCGTAACATTATATAATAGAGTCATAAATAGATACCAACTAGAACAGAATAAGTAATAGTTTACAGGACCAGAGACAAATATCTTTTTTTATTTTTTTGCAAAAACTGTGTGTTATATAATAAATTAGTATTTCTGGATGGCACAGCACCTTGTACTTGTACTTTGTAAAGTGCACAGTTCTTATTTCTAAATTCATTGGTAGTTTAAACAATAATTATTATAATAGTTATTTAACAATTTCAACCCACCTATTTACTGGTGCACCCTCATGGTTGCCCACAGCAGGGAATATTTTCACACCTGGCATATATTTCTCTAAGAGTTGACTGGCATGGTTTATTGCCTCTTCCTGCACAAAAAAGATAATTACATGTATTACTCATGGGCAATATTCAGTTGGTCTTGTAATGCGATTATTTTTTACCTTCAATTATCATTGACCTTGAGCAATCAATTATTATTGACCTTGAGTAACACCTCATCATCATTATTAGTATATATAAGCATTAGGTAAACATCACCTGATCCACACGTGACTGATTCCAAATGTTGTGCGGGGGAATGTCTCCTGTCCATATCGCATAATCAATGTTCTGTAAAATAAACAACAGCAAAGATAAGTGAACAAAAATATAAAATGCAGCATTTAACTCGATAAATTGATTCCTTAAATCAAAGCTTTCCTTCCACAAAAAGGAAGCATGTGTTTAATGCATACAGGCAATGTCCATTCTAGCGAAAAATAAGAAGATAAAACAATTATATTAGAACTCTGTATATCTTTACCTGATGTGTACTGCTGATGTGCTGCAACATACTTTCGAAAGTTATTAGCGGAATATCACAGAGATAGTCTCCGTATTTTCCTGCTTTGGGCTTTCCAGGTGCTGTAATCAAAACAGTATCTTTCTAGATGATGCAGACTTGTAGATCAAAGACTAATGCAGGACGGGGTTTCAGGGTTTTTTTTTTCCTACACAAAAATCACCTTAGAAAAGCTTTGAGCTTTATTTAACCCCCTTTGACCAGTAAGAGTGACCAGCATCTAATTTCTCCTTACAATATCACCCCTGAATCACACAATGAGGTCAGGAGAGTAGAGGAAATGATCACCAACTTAACAAGCTCTTGATTGTTAAACAAATTCTCCTTGTCTGTACCCAAAGAAATATATAGAGAAGAGTATCAAGAATATACATGCTGATACTATGGTGTGAGGGGTTAAGCAAAGGAAACTTTCAATTCAGAGTTGGCAACGTCATTATATTCTCTGTCAGTTGTGGAAATTTTGAGCAGAAAGGTGAATTTCCCCAAATTACATTATAGGGAGCCTTTTGAGACCAATGGTGCCAAATCAAACCATCACTTATTCTCAGAAGCTAGGCTCATTGATTTTCACATTATACAAAATGGTAAATCTACTCTGCATTTATTTGTCTCATCTTTTAGAGACTGTATGGAACTGATCTGTAGCAGTCATGAATGTCGGAAATACCACAACATACCTGGAGGCTTATCATTTTTGCGACAACACAGAGGCTCGCCACAATCAGGGTTACCTCCTTCTTGATACAAATAATCAAGATGAACGTCAGAAAAGTGTAGCACACGGGAAATTGGTGAGCCAGGCTAAGAAGAAAGAAAAATCTTTCACTCAATAATCTATAACTCTCCATCTACATATCTACATCAGAAAACTGAAATAACCCTTTCATTCCTGAGTGATCAGAACTAAAATCTCAGTCTAAAGCATATACTTAAATGAAATCTCACAAAAATTGAATTAAATTTCACAATATCTTTTCAAAGGGGTCAGTATCTCTAAAATTAATTAATCTACGATAATATTTCAGTTGTCATGTGATCATTCTCTTTGTTTCCAGAGAATCAGGCCATTTTACGTGCCAAATCGTCGTTATAGGGGTCGTATAGTTATTTTCAGTAGTTTACCGAGTAAATTTTGCAAGTAGGTAACTCTTGTTGAGAACGATGCGTTACGTAAGCGGCGTAATTGAACAAGTTACAAGACTGAAATTTCCATGTCACCTGATTCAGATATCATTTTACTTCTTTTCTCCGGTTACTTGCCCGTTCGGCCTTGCAAAATCACACAACGGATGGGTTTTGCAAAAACTCTAAGGCTGGGATACTCTTAAAATTTTATTAAAATTTCGCAGAACTTAAGATTTTGAGTGACAATTCCCATCCACAAATGTAGGAAACAAGATAAGCGTCTGTAAACAAAAACTGAAACCGTTACAGAGACACTCCTATAATAGGAGTATATAAGACTCACTTGTACGAAATCATTAAGTAGAAAAACCAACCTTTGGAGGTGGAACAGGTTTAACTGGTGGCTTATTTCCAGGCACGGTTAAATTCCAAAATTTCCCAGGATCTCTGGCATGAGCACATGAGGGACCTAACAGACTTCCACAAACTTCAATCGGGTCGAGGAACACTTTGTCGGCGACTGTCAATATTTCGTTTCGAAACTCTAAGATAACAGCTGTACAAACTCGGGAATCCTCAATCTTCAGTTTTTTACAGACTAACTGGGCTTCGTAAACCACGTCCGCCTCGATTTTGTTTGTCAAGAGCGCAATTTGAGCTACAAACGTCAATAGTTTACAAGCTGAACAAAGGCCAGTTGACAATATTCCGTTCCGTACCTCGCTTTCTAAACGCATCACCCAAGATGTGAAACCATTTTCTTCATGAGCCGGTTTTGAAAACGAATATAACGCGAAAGAAATGAGAAGAACAAAAACTAGAAATAGTTTGGAAGCCATCGCCGCTGATTCTCTTTCACCTTTACTGATATGACGTTTGTTTTGTGGGAGTTGTGGAGGTGTGGAGATCGTATGATTGAGCACGTGACTCTAACGATGCGCCCGCACTACCGCGACTTCTGCGCATTGTCCTTCTAAATTTCGGAATAGCTTGCGAAAGCAATCAACAGTTGTTTTTTAAACCGTTGTTCCTTTTCTTTGTACGAGAATGAACTACAAAAAAAATTAATGGAAAGCCTTACAGAACGATATCAGAAAGAAGAGTGAAAACGAAATTGTTTTTACCAAGGCTGGCTATGAAAAATTTTAAATATCTTGTTCGTACCGTAGTACTGTGTTTATTTATCTCAAACAAACGTCGAAAACTCGAGCTCATACATTGGCCGCACGGCCTCGGTCAATGAAAGTGAAAGTAAGTAAGTAAGGTTTTCTGAAAATAACAAACAAAGAAGGCATCAAACTCCAAATACCTGCCTGAACGACAAAAAAAACAAATATTAACTCACCGAACCATTCGCTTAAGCCAACGAAAGACACAATAACGCTCTTTTTAAAACTCTCTTCAATGGATAAAAAACTAAACAAACATCCGCAAACCCGAGCACATGGCGATTCCAGCCAAAAGTCATGTGACCGGCAAAGCCTCGGACTCCCAAGGGAGTCGGGAGTGGCATATCTAGTTTTGTTTCAGCTGAATAAATGTCATTCTCTTACGATCATTATGGCATGCTCTATTGCTAGGCTTTCCCCATTGCTAAGTTGAGGCCAGTCTCATTCCCCGCCCCCTCCTTCTCCAGCGGGAAGGGCAGCGGGGGCTTTAGAAGACTGGGACTCGGAATCGATTATTGAATTTCTTTTTCAAAACAGACCGGAGTGATGTACACAGTGCAATTCTTAAAAACGATTCAAAAACAGTAGCGGAGACGGAAAGCTTTTTCATATTTGACAAGATTGGCGTAGACGAGGTTTGTACGTCGTTTAATTAGATGCACCGACATGTGACCTCATTAGCTTATGGTACATAACCTGCTGCCACCTGACTCATTAATATTAGGCATAGAACACCTGCCAAAAACTGAAATTAAGGATCCCTCGCCAATCATTTAAAAAGAAAAAGAAACTTTTGAGAGCCGCATCCTCCACACCGTAGGAAAATAGTAGACATAAAGGCATCCCTTTGAGGCTATCAATACAGCAAGATATTAATGCATTTTAAGAATATCGTTGGAATTGCTATAATGCTGCATGCAGCAGGGACATTTTGCTCAAATAAGCAACTGGGTGAGTAAGTGGTTTTATTCAGAGAGTTTCTAACGCCTCAGTCTATGCAGATCGCTCTACGCCAAAGAAAGAAACAGAGTATTACTGTCGACAGGTACCCGCCATTAGTAAATGCATGGATATTTTTTGTCTAAAGCAGTTTACCCCAGCAAATTCCTGTCAACAGAGCATCGTTACTACAAGTTTTTATCGTTTCTTCGATACTAATTCGCCAGTATCTACGTGTCATTAAGTTTAAAAGCCTTCTTAATTTTGATAGACGGGCAAGATAAATTGGGATCCTAAGTCTCGTTGAGAACAAAATATTTCCAATCCCGACAGGTAGCCGTTAAGGTTCTTTAGCAGCTGCTAAAACGTTTTCACTCTCGTTCAAACAAAAACATGAGGTATAAGATGGAACTACGGCACTGGTTCATAGGTCTGAACGACAAAATGTAGGAACGCAACAAGTGCTACTGAATTCACAGGTCCCCGTACTGATAATAATAGTAGGGACCTTAAGCAACCACGACGGCGACGGCAACGAGGACGTGGAAAAAGAAGAGATCTAATTGGCAGAACAGTAGCTCAGCACGTGCGTTTTGAAACTTTGTACATTTCTTAGCCGTCCTATGCAAAACAACAACGTGAAATCGCCAAAATTTGCGTCGTCTGCGAACCGAAACCGCGACGGCAAATTATTTTAATTTTCATTTGGAACTCAACGCTACTTTTATACGTCATGCTGAAGTTGAGCTGTGGCGCCATATGAGACAGTAAGCTCCAGCAGCCATGTTTGAAATTCTAACTAAGAGTAGAAATTCATTTTTTAATCGGAGTCTTCCTTGGCGTTGCCGTCCTGACTGCTTAAGGTCCCTAATAATAATTTTATCAATTTCTATAGCGCATTTACCATGTAATGATCTAATGCACTTTACAACACTGTGCGGGGACTTTACCAGACTGCAAGTGCCAGTTTACAGTCAACAAAGGAGAGATTTTACTGATGCCCCCTCCCCCCAATTCCCAGTAAACAGGCCAGACCACATCACAGTAATCTCGTGATGTGGGTTCTTTAACGTCCCCTTCCTATCAAAATTAACTAATTGAAAGATGCAGCAAGAGGAAGCCAGACTTTGCTTCCGAAAGAAACTGAAAGTTGCTTTGGTATGGCTCTTCAGTTTGACCAGGTGTTCATGGACATGAATTAAGTCATTTTAACAAAATATGAGAGGAATTTTCATTTTACCTCCGTCACTGAATTGCGTAAGAAGTAACTGAGCATCTTCAACCGTATCAATACCCTGTCAATAAGACCAGCCCCCCCTTTTTTAAATCTGTGTTTCTCACAAGTGTTTGTATCTATTTGCCATGCTCGCTTTATTTGCTCACGCTTTTCGAGAGCTAACACTACGGTTGTCTTTAAATGATTCCAAAAGGTTGTCCGAAACACTGGAAAAGATTCGAGAAGTCGTGTTACTTATCACCAAAGTCATCCCTAGACTGGCGCGCTGCTCAGTTCAGCTGCAGTAAGTACAACGCTCACCTGGTTACAGTCTCAACCGCAAGAGAAAACTCTTTCCTGATTCGAGAATTCGTCACCACGCAACAACACAGTAGGCATTTTTGGCTCGGCTTACATAGATCACCTTCCAGTCCCTCGAAGTGGGTTTGGGTCGACGCATCCCCAGTGACATTCAAGGACTGGTACTCGGGGCAGCCTGACAATTATCGCCATGAAGAGTTTTGTGGGGAGATGTATGTTCTTCAAGTTCGTGACGGTGTGGTGAAATGGAATGACTTAAACTGCTCCCGGGCTTCAAGCTTCATTTGTGAGAAAGGTAAAGGTGTAAACTATTCTATTTAATAACAACCCATCTCTACGATAACGGCCGTTTAACAAAAACGAACTTTAATCTCTTGCTCCGATGAATGCCTACGAGAAGAAAGTGTACGGGGTACACATGTAGTTTCGTCAGAGACCAGTCATCTTTTATCGCCTGGGGGGAGGGCAGGGGGGTGGGAGGTGATTTTGTGATCACATGATTTTTAGGGAGTACGAAGGGGAGTGTCAGTCATCGGTAACAGAGTATAAAAAGGGGGGCAGAAAATTGACAGCCAATTAACTGCCAATGAGAAGGGGAGGGGCGTCATAGGAATATTTCAGAGTCTTCTAAGGGGATCGGGCAAATTTTGTCACGTCACAACCCAAAATCCTTCGCCCCCCGGGCGATAAATGACATTTGACCGATCTCTAAGCAGCCTTCTTATAGAAACGCAGAAAAGCTACGTAGCTAATATCTACCGTATCGGTCAACAAAAGACAAAAAAGAACTTGGCAAATATGTCACCATTTCCATCGAACAAGCTTAGGTATCAGTTGAAGGTTTATTCTGTGGCCAAAAGATTACATCTAAGGATATCTCGCTTTTGCAGGAACAAAGCGGATAATACATATGATGCACGATCCT